GTCTCTACAAACAAATCTATAGAGCCTTTTCCTTAAAAACAAAACTAAATTAAGTTCTTTCTTCTTGCTATTCTTTTTTAAGAAAAAAATATATAGTATATTACTGTAAATCAGTTTTTTTCATATTTAATTAAAGAAAAGGTCCTATAGCTTTGTTTGTAGAGACATAATATTAGTGTAACTATTGATAGGAAAGATTAATAGAATTATATAGATAAAAGGCTAATTTAACTCTAACGGTGTACGGAGAGATAAAGACAACTTAAGGGAAGTGAAGGAAGTTGTTTATAACTATCAAGGTCTATTGAGACAATGAAATGGGCTTTAATATTAAGGGGGTAATAATAGAGTGAGGAATGGGGGTGTTTGTCAACTAAGTAAATCAAAACTATGAATAGTTACTAATGTTAGAGCTTACTGAAAATTTTTTTATTAGTATGATTAATTAGTAATATATTTATATATAAATATATAAAATTGTGTACTTTTTATATATAAAAATATATAAAATTGTGTACTTTTTTTAGATGCACAGGTTGAAATTTTTTTTTTTTGCAAAAAATCTTAATGCTACTTGACTCTTTTCTATCTTAGTAACAAAATTACAGAGCTATTTTTTACATTATATTGGTGAATGAATTTTTTTTTCTAACTTAATTTATATGTACTGTATTTGTTGTTTGGATAATCTGAATGAAATTTAAGCTTCCAGCAAAATTTTTTTAAACAAATATAAAATTTGGCTTTGTAACTTGCATTGCAAAGACCTTCTATCAATTCATTCAAAGCTTGAAATTCTAATTTTTTGTTGTGAGAGCCCTGCATCTAAATTTTTATCACGAAAAAATTTTATAGCAAACTTTTATATTATACCATATATAGTTTTGGTTTACTTAGCTGACAGACAGCCCTAGTGAAGCAACTACAGGTGATGCTGTTAAGAATATCTTAATAAGGATGGTGAAGTAAAAGCAGACGATAATTAAGTGATGTCGGTAATAACTTTATATCTATGTAATGGTTAACCGGATTAAATAACCAATCGTAAATATCGTTCTTTATCACAATTCTTGCAAATCACCAAGGTGAATAGCAATATCTAATTCTACAATTGTTTCAGAATCTGAGTCTTAATAATCCAAATTATACATGCCGATGAAATTATTTTAGGTTTTGGGGTACGAAATTAAAATTTGAAGATGAAATTGTTTTTGACCTACTTTACTTAAAAGATGAAATTTTTTGACACTTTTTTTGAAGAGACGAAATTATAAGGAATATAACTACCTAAATTAGATTTGCTATTGCATATAAAAAATTTCAAATTGCTCTAATGGAGACGAAATAGAGGTTTTTTGAAAACCTATTTCGGTGGCATGTATAATCCAAATTGAAGTTACAAGTCAGTTCAGTCTGTCAAATTGAGTCTCGAAAGGTTTATTAAAGTTACAAGTCGAATTTAGAGAATACTTCACAAGAGAAATTCAGATAAGTATAGACTTTTTATTATTTAGTAGTAATTAAAGGTGGATATGAAACTCTCTTCCTTTCTTTATTTAATTCAGAATGCTTATATACATTTTTTAACTTATAGAGTATTTTTACTCTAATCTAAGCGAATTCGCTCGTATTCACGATTTCTTGGATGTATACACCTAGATCTGGGTATATACGCTCAAGGCACAGTGATTAATCAATTGGTATAATTACATATCCATGATAATTTGGGTATATATATGATTTCATATATACTAAGCCACCAAGTCTCCTACTATTACTATATATTTTAGTATAAGTTATGCAATGTTCAAAAGAAATTAATGAATTTGCCAAAATTGGGCATTGTTACCAAAATGAATGAGAAATTATAAATAAACTATATACATGTAGATAATCTACCGGGAATAATAAAGAATAATATAAAAAATCAAATTTTAATTTGTTACACTAGTCTTTGCAAAATTTTATCCAAAACTATCAAAGTCATTAGAGCTGTGTATCTACGTATTTAAAATTTTGTAATAATTATAAATTTACTATTATCAGTCACTCTATCTATAAAAAAATCCATTAATAAATTTTATTATATGATCACATATAGTTTTATTTATATAGTATATTGCACTCCCCAATGGATCACCTCCTGATTATTTTAGATAACTGTCCCTAGTGCTTCGCAAAAGCAAATCAAAGGTTGAGTTTGAAATCAAATATTTGATTAAGTCAAATTTGATCAAATAATTGATCAAATCAAATTCAAATTGATCAAATATGACTATAAACTAGTTCACAATCATATTTGATCAATTTGAATTTGATTTGATTAATTATTTGATCAAATTTGATTTAATTAAATATTTGATTTCAAACTCAACCTTTGATTTGCTTTTGCAGAGCACTAGCTGTCCCACAAAATTTTTTCCACCCCTTGCAATAATGTTCAATCAAATTTCAGGATCAGGTGTAACATGATAATCAAAACAAACATGTTTTGTTTTCTAAATAAAAAGTTATATGCAAAATTAAAGTTAAAGAAAACCGCGTTATAGTTGAGATTAGGACTAGAATAATATGACCTCTACAAGTAAAATTTTACAAAGAACATTTTTTATTAGTTGACTAAAAGAGGTTTTCTAATTAAAATTTAGAGCTATTGTTTTTTTGCTTCATCTCGATTTTTACATTACACCTAATCTTAAAATTCAATTGGTCATTAGTACAAGGAGTAAAAAAATTTTTGTGAGACAGCTAGGGGCTTTTTTCAGTTAGCCACCTATCTTCAACCATGATCTAAAAGAAAATTTTCTTTATTTACTCTAAAATTTTTAACAATTATTCTTTTTTACATACAGTATTTGTAATCCTTTTAAGTTGGTTTACAGTTACCATCATCTCTTTACCTTTGCCAACTTTTTTTTTATTTAATATACTAAAGCTGCTTGAACTAGAATTTGTGTTTTATTATAGAATCTGTATATAATTTTTTTTTAGGTTTGTTTACCACTACTGTTATAAGAATGTACTTTGTTATCTTTCGTCAATTTTCTTTTCATTCATTATACAGCACAATTTGTGTTTCATACATAATCTGCATTTTGATGAATAGTGAAATAATTTTTCTGTTGATATATTGCGAGCTATTGCGAGTATTTCTATAATTGCAAATAAATTTTTCTATTACATTTTTTGAAAATTTTTTAATATTAAAATCGCTTTTGATTTTGATATTATTTTACTACAGCATATGTATAAAATATTATTCATACCCCTGATAGTTCAATTTTAATTAATTTATTTGATAATAATTCAATATTTCAGAAAAAAAAATATTTTTCATACATGTATTTTTAATGATTAATGCAGAGATCAGAATTAACGTAATCTGCTCCAGGTTTTCTATTTGTGATTTAAAGAATTTAAATTTATATATAGATTCAGATTCTTCTTCTAAATTACAGTTAACTTTATAACAAACCAATTGTTTCATAACACCGAATTTTAAAAAATATCACATATGCAGTATATGACATATTTTAAGAGATTTCAATGTTTTTGCATTGGTGAAAAAGTGAACAGGTAAACTCCAAAGAAAAGCAAAAAAAATTTAAAGTGTTCGAAGCATTTGGTATTTAAAAGTTTAATTAATTTAGATAACATAATTCTATTATACTTTAATAACTAGTTATCATAACAACAATAATCAAGATATTATTACAAGAATAATTTTTAACTTTAAATTATTCATGCTGCTTGCAGAAGTTAAATATTAAATTTTGCCTAAATTAATTAATTTCACTTATATCCCTATAACTAGCTTTGACAACTGAGTTGTTGTTATTTTTTATGAACTTGATTTGAGTCTCATTTGTATATACAATATATATTTATATTTATATAATTGCATATATCCTAACAAATCTAATGAAAGGAATTTATTTGACTTAGAAGGGTTGTGTAAATTGTTATTTTTTTATTTTTCATCATTTTCTGATGGTTTAAAAATATTAATCACTAAATTTCTTTTAAAGAGATGAAATAATAAAATAATGATGGCTTAATGTCTATATGATAATAATAGAGATAATACTTTCTGCGATCACAACTTTAATATCAACAGATATGAAGAAAATTGCAGATATAATGTTTTATAAAATCAATTCAAGTTTAAAAGATTTACTTATTTTTATGTATATACTGATCTGTTAAAAAAGTGTTTAGGACATTTGTCTCAATTTGACAATATTTTTTACAGATCTATATACTTTTAAAAAAAGCTTAATTATTGATCAAGCTATAGTATAAGGCAGTAACATTTATTATATAATACTCCATTTCGATTTACTATAGAGGTATTCACATAAGACTAATTATGATTAACCAATTAATTATATACACTATATATGTTTACATATAACATAACAATAATATATTGCTATACAAACCCTCCATACCCTAAAAAAATTATGTAATAAATGTCAGTGCTATAAAAAGTTATAAATTTTTAGCCAAAATTGATTATCAGTTAAATACTCTTATGTACAGTATCTACAGTACATATATATGTAACAAGTAGACAAATAATAAAAAAAAACTTTACAAGAGATAATTAACTTTCACAGAAAATTTTACAAAATATTGCTAGCATTGCACTATTAACCTTGAGACCAATACTTTAGATGCAGATGATTTACGTATGTACATATCTATATATATTCTCAATAAATTATGGCTTAGCGTTAAACTGAATCTTATAATTTCTATTTGTAGACAAATAACCTATTTTTAATTTATTAGCCCTGAATAACAATTATATATGTATGATGACTTTGTCACCAAAATAGTATTGATATATACAGGTCGCTTTTTGACAATTTTAAGTTCACCTAGCAGAAAACCCCATGTAGCATACTGTAAGTGTCTTTAAACTAAATAGAAGCTTTCGGACCATAGTTAAACAAATTATGTAAATGACAGTAAAACCCTTATCAAAATTAAGAAAAATGAAAGAATGGTTGTATAACAAAGATAAAAAATTATACAAAGAGGTGAAGAATCAATATCATAAATGTTTTATGTTGTACAATTGAACAAAACAGCAACAATTTCATTATTTATCTATCCTGTCCTTTGATGGCATTTTCAAGGCTCTTGCGATGAGCCAAAAACTGTCATCTATGTCGTCTATATAGTAAAATGATCAAAAAATCCACAACAATAAAGGTTTGAATAAAACAAATCAGTGACTTTTTTCAATACATGTTTATGTGCCATAATATGTTTGCTCTATATACAGTATAAAGGTATATATATTTTTTAGTACTTAATAATACAAATCGATACAATATGAATTTTATCATATAAATTAATGTGTTGTACTTATATAATAATAATGAATGTTAATAACTGATGTTTCAAAAGGCGCGCTAATGATGTTTAATATTTGTATATTTTTTCTAACATTATAAAAACATTTTTATCAATAAAGTATTCTTTATTAATTTTTGTGTTTAATACATATACGGTATATACTTCATTTCTTACATGCATGTTTACCCTATATTCATTAAAATATAAAGATTAATTCGAACATTTATTATTTTGATAAATACGATAAATTTAATATCATCAAAAATTTAGGTTAACAAAATTAAAATTTCTAAATGCTAATTTTGTAACCAATTTATCTTAAATATTTTTAATAAACAAATTAATAGTCAATATACAGTATAATAACAACAATGATACATTATTTGATTCTTTGAGCATATAATTTATTGAATTAATTGATTTAATTAATATTCTGATTAAATGATCATGCAAAAAAAAAAAAAAAAATCAATAGTTTTTTTTTAGAAATAAAAAAAACATTCTTCATTAACAATTTTCGATTTATCTAAAAAGATATTTAAATAAAAAATATAATCAAATTTGGTAAAATAAGCTTTGAAATTTACGTATATTTTACAAAACTATAATTTAAAAAAGAAACAATGCCTATTCATCTCAAATATACTTTTATCTTTATAACACTCCTCGTTATCATCAGCATCTCATTTCTTCAAATCACAAGTGCTGAACTTCCAAAAGATTTTGGTAAATCTCATAACAGCAATAGACCCAGTCTTCCTTTTGGTACTATGCTAAAGGACAAAGATTTATCTGTTAGTCCAACTCCAACATCATTATCATTACACCCTTCAAACATTGAACATCAAGAAAACATTATATCTACAATGATCATATGTGCTATGACAGTTTATCATTTTACAATGCATCCTTCTAATTTCACGGCTAAACCTTCCTCAATCAATGATAGTGGTGTAATGATGATTGGCGAAATGTTAAATCGTAAATTTTTAGAAATTGTGGCTAGTATATGGTTGTGTAATTGTCTTGGATTCACGAATATTTTTTTTTAATTAATTATGTTTTCAGATATATTTTTAGTTGATGTTTTTTCAATAAAGATTTTCAACGATATTTTGTACATATATACCAACTTATTACATCATATCATAATTATAATTCACTTGAATTGACGGTTCTACAAACAAATCCTGACATCCCAAATCTCAACAGGTCATAATACTGCCATCACGTGAGGTGACAATTAAAAATTTAGCGTCTGACAATAATTGTTAATGTGATTACTAATCTTTAAATATTAATCATCATGTCAGGATTATGGTTGTCGAGATTTTGGATGTCAGGATTTTTTGGTAAAACCTGAATTGACATACCCTTGATGATAAAAACCGTTTATTCGACCTAATCGATTTTGAAAAATTCGAATATGTAAATATCAATATCAATATCAATATTGCAGTATTAGGAGTTGTTATAAATAGTGTTGTCATGGATAGTTTTGGTTATGCTTTATTTATCAAATAAATAAACACACGATATTAAACCTTAAGAAAATATCTAATTATATCTTTTTATATAAATTTATTAAAAAGGTTGGACATTTGGCGTATATATGAGTGTATTCAATCTAAAATTTTTCGGCTAAATTAATTTAACAAATATATCTGTTTGATAGACCTTAATTATCTAAATTACTATAAAATAATTATGCAAAGAGTGAATTTCATAACACTAAAGCAAACACTAAAGCACTGACTTCATTTTTATGAATTGATTTTAAGATTTATTTTCACAATATTTAAGAATTGGTTTTTTTAATTAATTCGAATTGTCTTTACTCTTTTGGAATTTCAACGCTATCTACAGGATTGCTGACAACAATTGCCATTTTTGATAATGCGTTTATGATTTCTTGCATGTTAACGGCCTTTGATGTGTACTTATTATGTTCTTGATATTTTTGTACGATATTTTGTGATTGTTTATCCTCCTTTTCATTTTCTAAGGATTGCTTATCATCTTCTAAAGATTGCTTATCATCTTCTAAGGATTGCTTATCATCTTTTAAGGATTGCTTATCATCTTTTAAGGATTGCTTATCATCTTTTAAGGATTGCTTATCAGCTTCTAAGAATTGATTTTTAATTATTCTTTTGTTGTTTTCATGCGCAAATTCGTCGATCCAAGTAGTAATTAACGCATTAATATATATAACAGTAGGTCTTTCTTTTGGATCTGAGTCCATACATTTCTTAGCTAATTCAACGTAACATTCTGGAGTCCCAGCGAATTCTGGTCGCAATCCAAAACAAATCTTTATTGCTAATTCATTATTAAATTCATAGCCATTGAAAACTTCTTCTCCCGTTAAGATTTCCCACATAATCATACCAAATGAATAAATATCTGCTGCTTGTGTAGATGGTTGACCTAATAAAACCTCTGGTGCAATATAAGGTAAAATTCCAATAATTTCATTGTCATTTTTAGCAGGCGATGTAAGACCTAAATCAGTGATGTATGCATTATCTAAATCATCTTGTAAGATGTTACTACTATGTAAATCTTTATGAATATATCCTTGTGAATGAATTGCTTCAAGATCAGATGCTATGCAACTTAATAAATTTAATTTTTTTTCCCATTTCATTTGCGATACTTCGCGAAGATTATTACGTAAGGATCCATTTTCTGCATATTTCAAAATAAGAATATAATTTCCTGAATCATCTCTCGACAGCCCGTAGCACCTTAAGAACGATGGATTTTTATGTCCGATCTCGCAAAACACTTTTAACTTTTAAAAGAAAATATTAATAATATAATTTAACCATCAAACAAACTTGATAAATTTACCTCATCAAAAAAACTCTGATCATGAATCATTTTAAGTGCGAATAAATAATCATAATAGGAATACTTATAATCAATTCGGCAATTAGCACTATAAACGGTTGCAAATCCTCCTTTTCCAATCTCTTCAATATTTTTCAATTTATCATATGGGATCCATAATAATTGATACTTCTTATTATCCAATATTTTTTTAACATTATCATCGATATCAAAATAAGTGAATTTTTCTATTTCTGTTAAAATCAAGTTAAACTATTAAGTATAAAAAAATAAAGAAAAAGAAAATTATACAAAATCATTACCTTGAAACTTGCTTCTTTCCCTATCTTTAAATTATTAATATTACTTAATATTTTTATATAAGAGTTAAGAAAAAAGACTTACATTTTAAACCAATATTCTGCTTCCTTTAGGTCCTTTTTTGTTCCGATTCCGTTTCGATAAAAATAACCAACGCATTTCATTCCTTCGACATGACCCATTTTAGCTGATTTCAGATACAGTTCAAAAGCTTTTTTCAAATTTCTTTCAACTCCGGTTCCATTTTGATAACAACTTCCAAGATTATATGTTCCCAGCATATTTTCCATATTAGCAGCTTTTTGAAAATAAATAAATGCTTTGTGTTCATCCTTTTCAACTCCAATTCCATTTCGATAACAATATCCAACATTATTTGTTCCAACTTCATGCCCCATATCAGCAGATTTTTGATAATAAATGAATGCCTTCTGTCCATCCTTTTCAACTCCAATTCCCTCTCGATAACAGTATCCAACATTACATGTTCCGTTGGCGTTCCCCATCTCTGCTGATTTTTGATAGTATTCGAAGGCTTTACGCAAGTCCTTTTCAACTCCATTGCCGTACCAGTATTGCACACCTTTGTTATAAAGTTCTGCGGCAGTTTGGTTCATGATTAAAACATGAGATAAAAAAGTTTTATTTTAACTTAACGCCAAAAAATTTTTTAATTACATTGAACAATGTTTTCCATAAAAGCATCCTTAATTTCTTTATTAGAATTTCACAAGTGAACACTTGTGTTCATAATTGCTGATCTTATTACAATAATTTTTAAGTTTATACGTAGAAAAGAAAATTTATTGCTTTATTCATAATACACTTTACAACATAATTTTAAAAAATATTATTATTTTGAGAACTTTAAGAAAAATCTTAATTCGGATGGTACGATATAATGAAACAGCAATTTTTAAGCAAAAGCAAAACAAAAACTTATAAAGAGCAAAGTATATAATTGACATTGTGTCATACAGTTATTTGGATGTACTTTCAATTAAGGTTTAACTAGTATTAAAAAATATCAAAAGACAAATGGTGATATTTAACCGTTTTAGCGTATAATTTCTAATAATAAAAGAATATTAGAAAAATATAAAGCAAAATTTTCAGAGAGAATTAATTTATTAGAAAAAGAGAATGTAGATCGATGTTAAAACGATATTCCAGATTATTGATAAGCGAAACTGCGAATTGTAGAAAAAAAACCTAAGACACCAATCTCTGTATATTAGTATATTAAAAATACAATCTCTAACAAAATCTATAAAGTCATTTATTTAATAGAAAAGAGAAATTAATATAATAGAAAAGAGAAATTAATATTTTTTTTAAATCATTATTATCACATTGGCGAAACCGCTCACATGTGAAATGTCTAGTAATTATATTTAAATAAAAATTATATAAGTGACGTGAGTAGAAGTTTGATCGCACTGCAAAAATAGTTCCCTAAATGCTGCAAACTTTTGACAACTTGTACTTAAAGAATATGAAAAATTGTATTTATGGGATTTAGTACTGTATATAGGGGTAAGTCAATAGAAATTAAGCAAATTTGATCAAATATAATAAAATTTTTTTTAAACTAATTTTATAAAATTAATTTTATCAAAACTTGATTAAGTTTT